TGCGGCTTGGTAACAGGGCCAGAATAAAATGATTGCTGGCGAATGACGAGAGATCGGCGCAAATAACAAAGCTGCTATAGTCCAAGTAGGGGAGGTGTAACCCGGGCGCAAAACTAATAGCAGTGGAACAAAAAAGATATACCATACCAGACCAAGGGCAAGGTATGGATCCCGGCTTACACCATCACAGCGATCAGACTAATGCAGCTCATTAGAGCTGCAACCCGAGTCTGCCCACGGGAGGGGTGGAAGTTCGTAAGGCGTTTGACGAATAGCGTAGCAGAATCTGGCGTGGAGACGCAAAAAGGGCACGACTGCAGATCCTGCTATACTAACAAAAGAAAAATCCATCGAAACGCTGGCGAAAAGTGGCGGGGAGATAACTAACGGATTCACGAAACGTAGGATTCACCGTAACAAGTCGGACGCGCGATTGCTGCAGACATCTAGCAATCGGAAAAAGCGAGACATGCGAAGTAGAGGAAGTCCGGTGGAGTCCTCAAAGCGATCTAGAGAGGCATAGAGCAAGGTGAGTGTTTCTTGCCCGAGTCTGATTTGGCTGGCGACTGTAATTGGTAAGTAGGCGGTGGCTGGTGGCGACCTCGATACCCCTCGTTTTTCTCCAAATTAATCTTCAGTCCGCAAATACGCCCTCCATTAACCCATGGCTCCTGAATGAGGACAAACTCAGGCTGTTCTTCTGCCATGCGCTTAATTAGGGCTGCTGAAGCTAGTTTGCTGTAATGAAGATTAATTTGTAGGAGACGCATTAACTAGTGTTGTTTCTGCGTATTTCTGAGAGTCGCTTAACAGCACTCTCTCAGTATACAAGTTTACGAGTCTGGCAGCAAGTTCAGACTCGGAAGAACACTCACCTTGCTCTATGCTCTCTAGATCGCTTGAGGACTCCACCGGATCTTCCTCTACTTCGCATGTCTCGCTTTCCGATGCTAGATGGTCTGCAGCATCGGCGTCCGACTTGTACGGTGTAATCCTCACTTTCGTGAATCCGTAGTTTATCTCCCCGCCACTTTTCGCCAGCGGTTCGATGGATTCTTTTGTTAGTAATAGCAGAATCTGCATCGTGGCCCTTTTGGTCTCCACGCCAGATTCTGCTACGCTATCGTCAAACGCCTTGACGAACTTCCACCCCTCCGTGGTCAGACTCGGGTTGCAGGCTCTAATGAGCTGCATTATCTGATCCGGCTGTGATGGTGTAGCCGGGATCCATACCCTTGCCCTTGGTCTGGATGGTATATCTTTTTTGTCCACTGCTATTAGTTTTGCGCCCGGGTACACCTCCCCTACCTTGGCTATAGCAGCTTTGTATAGTGCGACCGATCTCTCGTCATCGCATGCAATCATTTTAATCTGGCCCTGGTACCAGCCGGCATCTGTGCATGACGGTGGCGGACCTGGATTGCTAAGTAGCACTTCCAGCGCCACATTTGTCAGCGCAGCCTGCACCCATTTCCATTGGGCTCTGGGATTCTTTTCGGGGTCCCCCTCATCCAGAACGCCAATGACAATTCGTCCCGGGCCACTTCTGCAAATGATTTTGCGGGCGTCACGCCCTTTGTTTTCGGTCGTTTGGCTGACGGCTTAGCCTCTTCAGCTCACCTCTGTCGCTTTGCTGCCTTTACTGGAGGTTCCAGTTTAAAATTAGGTATGACCGCCCTCGCGCATTCAATTGATGCTAAGAGCTCCTTGGTCAGCTCCTCCTTGGTTGGCGGCTGCAACTCCACTAACCTCAATAGGTATGCGGCGCGTCGTCTCTCCGCATACCTTGCCTTTGTCGGGTCCTGAATATTATTAAGAGCTCTGTAATGATGATATTGGCGGGTATTTTTTATGGTTACACATCGGTCATAACGTAATTTAAACATCTTCTCATGGGAGTCATGATCTTCTTGAGAGCAAAAACCAAAGTTAATTTGTTTATAATACTATCACTTCCTGGACACTTTTAATTAAATCATTTGAGCTTTCTGAAATAATTGTCCCCTCTTTTTTTTATTCATTTTTAAATCCAGCTAATTTCAATTTGAAATTTTGATGGATTTTACACACACACACATTATGAGTTCCACTTTTGCCAGCAGATATACATTTCCGCGGTCGGAGTTTTTGAAATTTGGATAGTCCAATCTTTTCGTCAGGATAAGCTTCTTTAAATTTTTTGTGTATTTCGTGAACATTATATAATAATAGTCGTTTTTGTTTTTGGATTTTCTTCCCATTTGTTGCGATGCGAATCCTCGTTCTTGTCGTATTTTTTTTGCAGTTCTCACCATTCGTTTGGAAACTTTAAACTCTTTCCTTATCATTTTAATCGACCAATCTGTAAACTACAAACCTGAATTTTATCAGCTCTACTAGTTTTACATTGAAAGCAGATTTAAAGTTATTAAGTAAAAGCTCTTTTGGATCAATTTCTTTATTTACATTGTTAATATTATCCGTAAATTTACTCACAACATTTGTTAAAATGTTTTGACACTCTTTATTACTTGAGACTCTCTTGATTTTGATTGAAGGTTCACCAATTTCCGTTAAAAATTTATTAACCTTATCAACTTTTAATTTGTTATCTACCGGTGTGCAATGAAAAGTAGGATCTTTTTCTTCGTCATCTTCGATAACATCAGTTGACTTCTCAGGTTTGTTGACTTCAGGACATTTATTCACCGATAATTCACCAAGAATTTCAGGTTTTCGGCCTGAATAAATAGTCCGTTCACATGAATTGCACATATAATTCCCAATAAAATCTTTAAAATCATGAGCGCGGTTTTTGTTATTAAAACTAAGTTTTTAATGACTTTTTTATGATTTTTTTGTTAAATGAGTTGCAGCATTTCTTAACGAGGCTCATGATTAATTATCAACGAAATTATGAATGGCTCGAGATATTCCTTTGTTGTTCACATAGTTGTAGATACTGGGACATAAAATATTAACATAAAATATTAAGATGCTTTCATATTTATTTCTTTTAGCCGCAAAAAAAATTTTTAATTTTTCTAGGGAGAAGTCATTAAAATTTTCATTTTTTAACTTAAAAGTTAATTAACAATTTGAAAAATAAAAATTATTTAAATTCATACATATTTTTTCAAAGTAAAAGTTTTGAACTATAACTCCTGAAAATTTCATTAAAAAATCACCAATAGTTTTCTAGTTATTAATTTTTTAACTAAAAGTAGTAAAAATTTTCAATTTAAAAAAAATTGTTGTTAAAATTAAAATTTTAAAAAACTGAGCGGGGGACTACTTGCTCATGATGACTACTTTATGAAAAAATACTCACATTCAAATTCGATGATCAAGTGAAAAATGGGGGGTCCACTTGACGTGTTTTTACTCTTATACTACAATTATAAATTTGGTCCCTTCATCAGGAAATGCACCATGCGATATTACATTAGTTATTCGCGGGTTTTTTGCCAAAAACTAGACAATAAATGATTTAAGCCTGTTTTATATGTGTATCACCAGAGAATGGTAATAAATAGAGCAGGCGCAAATGTTAGCTGTGCTAAAATGTAAATTATTAAAAGGGAACATCGAAAATGCGCAAATTCGAAAGTTCAATTACACCACGTCAAAAAAGTACCTTCCCCTCATGTAATTAAACTCAAAAAACTACACCACTCTAACAAGGTACCAAGCAATATTTCACCACCTTATAAGGGAACGGCAAATGAATGTATGTGCAGATGTTCTTTGGCATGCGTATTAGTGAAAATTAGAATAATAGAAAAAAAAATAGATTTTGAAGAACATGTAATGAGTGAAAAATTAAAATTAAAATAAAATAAATTTAATACAATAGGTTAATAAAAATTAAAAAATAAATAAAACAAAATCTTTGATAGGATTTCAACTTAGGCAAATATTTGATGTGAATTTGCAATAGGGAGCTGTGCTATAAAAGCAGCACCACAGACAATAACGAAGAAATGGTGTCTAACCTGTGAACTCAAACAGCTATTGTCATTTACTAGTTTCAAATGATCAATTTATATGTCATTGTTGTTGAAATTGCCTTTCCTCCATTCGCATGTCCAAATATATTTGCATATATGTACACATATGTATGTATGTCCCTTACTATGCCTTTTGTAAAAAACTCAAACATTCGCGAATCAACAAAAAAATCGCAGACGCACCATAATCGACCAATAAGATTCAAGCAAGCTTGCGCTTTATTTTTTATATATTTCATATTACAACGCCAATAAATTCATTCATAAGGAACGCGCGTATGCTACAAAACAAAGTGCGATTGTTTATAACTCTGTACTGCGCTCTTTTTTCTGTGCGCCTGGTCAACCAAATTTGGTTTTCATATGGAATTCCTACCACAAATGCACGAAAATGAAGTTTAAATAAAAATGAATGAAATTTAATTTGAGTTTTCAGTAAAATTGAAGAATCAGCAAAACTTCAATTTTACAATTGATTCTACCATTCCCCTCGCATTTGTATGTTGCCCACAAGCTGCTTCCTCACGACGAGGCTAAAAATCAGAAATTGAAGATATTGTCTGATGATCTCTTCAGAAAACAGAATCGGCAACATGGCCTATTAGCGATTTAAAAATTTTATTAACATTTAATTAATATTATGCAATATATTTGACATTATATTATACAATTTATATGAAATGCCATACATATGAAATATTTAATTAGTTTTATTTGTTCTAGCCCATTTTATCTAAATGCGTCGCTATGAAAATGCAGCCCAATCGGTAGTCGTACTATTTGAAAAGAGCATAAGTCAATTTTCATTGATAAAGCCCTGCAAAAAATTGTGGATTCGAACAAATTTTGTCAACTCGGCGACGATGCGCAAAATTCAGCGTCAATATGTATACGAGCTCGATTTTCGGCATAGTTGTCATTTGGGTTTTTTTAACGTTTTGTCAGAACTCAATTTTAAATCATTTACAAAAGTTATGATTTTTTGGTAATATGCAAATGTAAATCAGCAAGCGCATAAATCATGTAAGAACATTTTTTGTGTCTATTTAAAGCCTTTGCCCCGTTTCGATCATTGCGTGGTGTATTTCAAAAGGTTGGAAGTTGAATTTTTCGATGTTCCCTCTTGTGAAAAGTTCAAATTAGTACTTTTAATCATTTGCGCCTTCTCTATTTATTAACATTCTCTGGTATCACGTTCTTCTTTAAATTGGGACATTTTAGCCATTACAGCATAGGAAATAATGTCGGTTGTGACGATTCACATCGGTCATTTAGCCATTGCTCATCTTTTGCTCAGTGATTAAACGTTCGCATTCTTTGCGTTTTTGCATTGCACCCTTGTGCGTTGAGAGAATGTTGGTGGTTAAATGAGCAATTCACATCCACATCACCACACCTGCATTCCACACACACATTCCACACCAACCCTATCATCACGATCACACCACACATGAAGACACACTACACACCACACCGAAGGAGGTAAAAAGGGGACGACGAGCGACCACCGGCCCCTCTTGCGCATCGTACTCGTACCAATCGCTATCTCCACTATCAACCGTCACAACCTGTGAATAATTTAAAATATTATTAATTTTGTGCGACAATAAAGTGTGAATTTCTTTAAAAAACATAAAAAAAAAACCAATTTATTAGTGAAAGCAAGATAAAAAGGTGAGTGCTATACAAGGTGGCGCATAAAGAAATACATGGTCCTTCGAGCCTTACGGAAAGGCACTATTAGGAAAAAAAAATAATAATAATAAATAATTAAATAAAATAAAGTGCGGAGATCAAATACTTACATACAATACATATAACTAAATACATATACCTAAATCAAAAAAAAAAAAAAAAAACAAACAGTGTACAGTGAAACAAGTGCAGTACAAGTGAATATACATTAAAAAAAAAAAAAAAGTACCGAAGACAATAATATACATATACAGTGCCGTAAAAATAAAATACATAAAAAAGTGCAACAAACCTTTCACATACTTTCGGTGAACAAACATAAGACATATAAAACACGGGCGCGAAACCTGTACAATAACACAAATTAAACGGGCGCGATTACTAAACATAATATACCTACAATACATACCAACAAAATTAAATAGTAACCGGGCGCGAAATAAAAATAAAACACAAAAATTTTATACAACAACCTAAGGGACAAAGGACAACAAAAGCAAGCTCGGACAGCAGAGAGGAGGAAAGGATTTTTCTGCATTGGCACACGTATATCAACATATAAAACCCCCAAAATACCCTTGAGGCGGTACAAAGTGAGTCGTATCGATTCCTTTTACTTTTTATAATTTATTGGCATATATGTATGTTAGAAGTAACAAAATCGGGTTATATTCAAATATA